TTATATTTGTAGAAAATTGTATTTTTATTTTCACATAAAAATTAGAGGTTGGAACCGGTTAAGCTTAATCGGTTAATTAACCGGTTAAAACGGTTAACCGGTTAAAACATTTGTTAACCGGTTAAAAAACAATTTTTAACCGGTTACAGCAAATTTCAAAATATACGGGACACTTGAGAAATTTGATTGTCGGGTTGTCGGGTAGCCGGGTTACTCGGCAGTAGGTTATTATATAATCTGATATACTACTATTCATTATACTCGTCACGTGTTATTTATACTTTTCTAATAAACAACCTACTGCCNTTAAAACGGTTAACCGGTTAAAACATTTGTTAACCGGTTAAAAAACAATTTTTAACCGGTTAAATTATCCGGTTAAATTATCCGGTTAAATTAATAGGTTAAATTAATCGGTTAAATTAACCGGTTAAAATGCGTAATTCTGGCCAAATTTACAGTGCCGGCCAGAATTATAAATCACGGGACTTCGGATAAAAGTTTAGCCACCAGGTAAGAAATTTTTTGTGTTATATATGCGGGCCGAAATTCATAGTGCCGGCCAGACAATTTTGGCCTGAATTTCGTCTTTTAGCTAGAGTTTCGTTTCGATTGTTAGAGTTTTGGTCTGGCCTAATTTTGGCCGGGATTAAAAATATATTTGATGCTAATCCTGGCCGAATTTTAATTCTGACTATGGTGGCTGTCACCTATAAACTACACTAATATTAAGTGACTTCAAATTTTTATAAATTGTAATTGAATAGTAAAAAGAAAAAACTAAACCGATAAAATGATATAGCAACATGTACTAAACATTTCTATCGGATTATTTTATAGAATTTAATAAGAATTTTAATTAATATTATGGGTTAAAGTTGGATAATTTTAATAAGTAGCAATAATAAAAATATAAAATTTCGGACTAGTTTTCATGTAATTTTTATGGATTTTACAAAAATTCCATGGAAATCCACAAGAATTCCATGTAATATGGCAAAAAAAAAATTTTGCCGCTCACGCGGCAATTAATATTTTGACAAAGTACTTTAAAACACGCTAATAGTATAAAAATTAAAAAGTATACATTGTTATATATGGTCACGTGTATATAAGTCACGTGCGGGACAGCATGCGAATGTAAAAGTCCTCCGCTCCGCTTCGGACAATAAGATGATATTGACTAACTTTAGCCTGTGACATAGGTTAAATTTATTAATACACAGTATGTATTTAATTCGGAATTTCTATAATTTAATTAACACAATAATAAAATAATAACAGTTTTCTGTGTACTCCAAGCAAACAAAATATAATAATTTGAATAGAGTTTTTAGAAATACACAAGATAACAAAATAATAAATTTTTTACATATTATTATTATAATTATTAAATACTAAGTAACGGGAACCGTTGGACATCCGAAGCGTTATAATCACTTGTTTATCGTTAAAGTATATAAACTAATCGATTATTATTTAATGTGATGCAAACAAAATTACATAACATATTTATTGTCACACGATATACTAGACAAGAATTCAAAATGGTAATCATATACTTCATTTTTTAATATATGTACTGTATTTCAAGAATATAAAAACATTAAAACACAATTAAAACTTAAAATTTATGTCAATTTGAGTTTTATTTATTATTTGAATAATGATATAATGATTGATACATTGTTATTTATATTATTAATTAAGTGTCTTACGCTTACGCTTCGGACAATTGCTAAAGATAAAATTAAATTTTAATATAATTGAATTACTATAAATTTCGGTGAAATGACACATCGGTGAGATGATACAGTCGGTGAAACGTCCGTCGGTGAATGATTGTCGTTGAAGTAATAGTCGTTGAATGAGTCACATATTGAGAGACGGGTATTCATATGAGTACACCAAAGGAGATCTTTTAGTCGGCAGTACTATGACCTTAAAATTTACAAGTCATACATTATATAGAAATTCTGTAAGGTATAACTTATATTATCTAATAAATAAAATAAAGGTTTGATTTTTTTTCCATCAAGTTTGTACCATGGATTAGATATAAAGATGATGAATTAATTTGGAAATGTCAAAACAAAAAAAATAAACAAGATTGCAAAGAATATTATATTTTTTTACAATATTAATAATATGAATATGACCAATAGAATATTGAAAGATAGATGTTGACATTTAAAAAGAAGAGTTCAGACAATATCGAAGATACTAAAGATTTTACTTGATGTGTCAAATTTTTTGTCACTGGAAGCTTAGACAAAAAAATGATTTTTTATGAATTTTCTCAATGACAAAATTCTTTTCTTATTCTGCTAATTAGAATATTAAATATTATATTTTCCAAATTCGATTGACTTTTTTGTTTTATTGAAAAAAATTAGTTTAAGTATAAATACAAGATAAGCATGGTCCAATATTGAAAATATATCTGTGTATAAAACTTTAGAATTAATAAAATTTAAAATTTTTGTCATTATCGATTAATTGTCCAGAAGGACGTTTGTGAAAATTTTGAAATCACGTGGGATTTCCGTTCGTCCTGCCACGACGCCACGTTATTTCTGATTGGCTGGACAAATAGATATTAACCCAAAGTAAATGTTATACAAATGATCCTTGCTCCGGACTCACAATGGTTTACTATTCTCTAGAGTGTTAGAACTTGGCCGTTAGCCGTTTCGGCCAAACTTTTAAAAGTTTTAGCCGGCCGAATGACCAAATTTCTAATAAATTTTGACCATATAGTAATTTATCTTTCAATAGTAAATTTATTTATATTTATATATTTATTTTGAAAATTATAAAGTTAACAATTAATCTGAAATATCTTCAGTAAAATTACTTTCTCTATTAATATTTCAATAAAAATCACCAAAATTGAGACATTTTAATAAAATAATTTTATAAAACAATTTTTTATTATTCCAATGAATCAAGTATGAAAAAAAACTTAAATATTTGACCATTATATTTAGTCGATTTGGCCAATTTGGCCAATTTAGTTCTTGGCCGCGACCAATTCTCAATCAATTTTTGGCCGTCAATTTTGGCTGTTGGCTTTGGTCGATCGCAAAATCGGCCAAACGGCAAAACAAATTTCGGCCAAATTCCAACACTGGACTAATACTCTTAGGAATTAGTGTGAAAAAGGTCACGTGAGGATTTCCGTTTGTCACGTCTAATAATATCGATAATCAAAAACAAGAGTCGTACAGTAAGTCGTATAATGGGAATAAATTAAATTGTACAATAGAAAAAAACGTGTCAGTTTGCAATTTTTTTTGGCGGGTAGTTTTTATTTTTCAACATTCCATTTTAATTTTCTTTTTTTTTCTTTCTTTTTAGGTCTTTATGATCTTTAATTTTGCAGCAAAAGGTACAATTTCCTTCTTTTTTTTTTTGTTTCGTCTTCAAACAAATAAACAATTTAGTGCTACTCATAATCACATATTAACAAAAATGGCTATTAAACAAGATTTACCGTTAAAATTGTACGTAGTTAAAAAAAAATTAATCTACCGCCAATCAATTTGGAGTGAGAAATATCAAATCTCACCTTAAGGTGAAAAATAAATTTACTCTCAGTTTTATTTCGTTCCGAACTAAATAATGGGTTTCATTTCTAGTTAATAATGAGCAAAATGATATACATTTTCCGTAATTTAATATCCTTTTAATGTCTATTAAAATGGTGTATCCATATGAAAATTGACCAACAGTTGATCCTCACCAATAATGTCTAGTGTCGTCAATCCTGTTGCACATAAACTTTTGATCTAGGAAAACCTTTTTTTTTTTTATATCATATATTTTATGATATATATGTATATAACATTGATAGCTATATCGGTCACAGGAGAAAATGATTGGATGAGAATGAGCCAAGTAATGGCCATTTTCACCAATTAATGAAGGTATCCACATCCAATAAAAGTATTATCGTACTGACGCCTTTTTGATCATCATTAATTATATCATCAATAAATAAGCTTTATGTAAACTTCCATTTATTATGCATTATACTATTTATAAGCTTTATATTAACTACCATAAATTTTCATTTACATCTTTTTTTTACATTCCACTTTATTAAATAAGTGGTTTTAATGCAGTTATCAATTATATCAATACTAGATTAATCATATGTTAATTATTAAAATATCAGTCTATGAAAAACTCTGCATTATCTTATTTGGGTGAACAAAATTTATTTATCATTTCACCACATTTTTTTGATTACAAAATCATAAAATTTTAATACAGTCAGATCTTTAATCGTCTTCTTTAAAAATATTGATTTTCGTCACCTGTGAAACAAAAAAAAAATAATTTGCACGAGCAAACGAGGATTAACAGGATTATTCTTGTTTAGTCTAATTATTTTTAAAAATAATTTGTACAAAATGTTATAATTTATTAATATTCATTCAACTTAACATTCATTAAAATTGAAATGAATGGAAATGCAAAAAAAAATGATATCGTACCAATCTTAATTTTTTTGTTATCTTCTTTTCCGGTTAATTGATCAACTTCGTACCAAGAAAATATTTTAATTTTGAAAAAAAATAAATTATTTTGAATTTAAATAATAGAATTTTTTAAGTCATTATTTCTGAATGCACGGTACGGGCACAACTTTTTTGTGCGACGCTGTGTTATTTATCATCAATTATCACGTGCAAAAAAAAATGAAATCTCTGCTATTTGTTAAACTGATATTCACGTGGATCATATTTTTTTTTTACTCAATCAAAGTTCAATGATTTAGGGATCAATTATTGATGCGTCGAAAAAATTACCGATTTATTGATAAAAACATTTATTTGATAAAAAAATACATCATGCTATTACATAATGTGAATGGTGCATAAGCACCGAATGTACATATTCCCTTTGCATACATAACCCCCAGTTACATAAATAAAAAACATACATATTTAACCCCAGTTACATAAATAAATAATAAAAATATAGCGTTCACCCAGTTAAATATATCTGATATAGTAAAATACTATTAAAAACCAAAATCAAAAAAAATGTTTGCGTCATCATATAAAGAATAAGAAGGATAGGGTAATAAAAAATTATCATCCTCTTGGTTAGTAGAATTATTGAAATAAAGGTTTTCGTTATAGTTATTAAAATCTAATTGTAAGTGAAAAAGAGAAGATTCTGCTGATAAATCTCGTTCGATATCGTTCTTTTCGTTATTCTTCTTGTCGTACTTTTGCTTGGGCCCGTCTCTATTATTCTTTTTTGGCCGTTTGTCTAGTTTTAATTTAATGTAGTAATTTTTTTCGCTATCGGTCATTCTGTGCCATTGTTCTGCAGCAATAGATGAAAATTGTTGAGTCGTAACGTTAGGGTATTTCTTCTTGAAGCGTTGCCATTCTACCGTTCGATATTTAATGAACCCATTTGGGCTTTTCCTTTTTTTTTTATTCGGGAATTCACGAATAAAATTATCTTGCGTAATGTTGGATTGGAAACTAGTTTCTGGTAACATTAAGGTTTCGTCGTAAAGAATTTTTTTTTTTTTTTTTTTTTCTCAAACCGTTTGACTCAAGTATCAGTAATGAGGAAAAAAGAGCGATAATGGTGACCTTTTTATAATAAAATAAAAATAATAAATATTAGCCAATTTTGTAATAGTAAGGAATAACGTCTCCTCAACACAAAGCTATACTAAAAACTTCTTTTTTTTCTTAAATTATACTTGTATCAATTACAATAATTCCAGTAACATTTTTTCATTTTATTTTCATATAAATTACTATTATAAATAAACTATAAAATATATAATATATATGTATTATAATAATAAATCTTTACCGACTTACTTTATTAAAAAAATAAATTTTGTTTTTTAAAACCGACTGACCGAACTAAATCTTATTGTCTAAAACCTTTTCTCTTTTTTATTGCTTGTACTTCTGTAATTGAGATCGCACGACGGAGTTCGGAGTTAAAAAAATGTATTTTATTTTGTTTCGTTAAGATTTAGCTTGTCTATATTTGATAAAGAAATAAAAAAAAGATTTTTGTTGTTTTATACTTTAAGGGGAAACTTTTACATTTTTTTTTCTTTTAATAATGGGACGATATGGAAAGGTTCAAATTATCGAGTATTTCTCTTTTCCAAATTATTTTGTTAAAAAAATAAAAAAAAAAATACCAACGCGTGCCATGATATTAATGGTTAAATTACTTTTATAAGAATCAGAAGGAATCAGAACTATTATAATAAATTTTTTTTTTTATAGAGCAAACGTCGTAAAAAAAAAAAAAAGATCATGTGACTCATTACCGATCATTTCTTTATATGCAAAAAGCACCCACCCACAAAGCCAATAATATGCAGAATCAAACTTTATTTAAATAAAAATTTCATATATTGTTTTTCTTTATTTTTTATATTAACATTGTTTAAATTAACATTTATTTTTTTTAATATATCCAAAAAAGTTTTCATTATTTATATTTAAAAAATTAGTAATTCGGATTGAATAACTCCCGAGAACTCCGAGAAGGTAATTTTTTTCATCTCTCAATCAATTTATTAACATTATATGCATATGTCTGTTGCTTATTCTATCATGCTTATTCTACTATAGATTATATAGAATCCGAAAAAGTGATTATGAAAAATTACGTACTTCGTGTATCTGGTATTCATCGACTCTACAAAGACCTTTTATAGTAAAAAAAAAATTAGTGTTTTTCTTCGATGAATTTATTTTTTTTTTATTTTTATTTGGGGAAACGATGGCATTAAATCATCAAAAATTCACAAATAAACGGTATGTATTTAAATATTATAATTGCACGAATATCAATATAAATATAATAATAAATTTTCTTTCGTTCTTTCGTCCTTTTTACTTTCAATCCAACCTTTATATTTATTTATTAAAATGATATTAAAGAATCATGTTCCCTCTGATAATTTCAATCGTGTTATTCATAAACGAAGAAGACGCAGAGTCATCAACAAAATACATGGAAGTACGTTTAATGTTAGTACATTAAGTCGATTACCTTTACAAATTACAAATGATCCATTCGCGGTTCAATTGTTTTCTGGAGCTTCTTTCCGTTAATGGTCGATTTTACTGGTGAGTAAGATTGGTTATTATAAATAAAGTAATAAATTAATGTGAATAATTTTAAGCAAGTCGCTCATTTTAAATTTTCCTTTAACAAGTGATCTTCTCGCTTAAACTATCTTCAGCGATATAATACTTGGAAATTATTGAAGCATGTACTCTCACTGGTTTAAAGTCGTCATTTCAGAAATTAAGATTAGAATTTATTTCATTATTTGTATGTCATAATAATAGATTATTAATAAAGCCATTTGATAATATACAATTTTACGACAAATCTTTATAATCATTTTCGTTATTATGTGATTATGAGTAGTATTAAATTATTTATTTGGTTGAATATTTTATAATATTTTACAATAATATTGTAAAATTTATAACGGCAGCAGCATTTAGATATCTCCAATACGTTATTAGCACGTTCAAAAGGAAGTATTTATGGAAAGCTACAAAGTCTTTGGATCAACGACTTATTAGAAATATATCTTCTAACTCGGACCTGCACTACATGATCCTTTTGTGTGGACCGAATATAGTAGTAACATATCCCACCCATTTGATTATATGCCTTCTCGGAATATAAATCTAGGTAAACGAAACGTTGAAGTTCGTCGTCGCTTATTATGAATCTGTGTAAATACGGGGGAATCTTAACCTAGATCTCAAATTTGTTTGGTTTACCATTTTCTTCTTCAATCATATATGATGCAAATTTGTACCAACTAATTGAAGAGTTTATAATTATTCGCTTATCATTAATTAACGATAATAAATTTTCTTTTTCTTTATGTTTTATTTTTCCTAAAGCAATTAATAAAGTTAATTCGTAATTCGGATAAGAAGGAGGTGAGCTATTAAGAAATTTCCAAAATGTGAAGGTAAATAAATCCTTCCAAATTATTTGAGAATATAAAGAATTATTTAATTTTGAAAAGTGAAATTTTAATGATTTTTACTGATTTTTACAAGAGTACTAATTGCATTAATTATTGATTATTGAGACGTGTCAAATGATGGTATTATAGAATCAATATAGATATCATGATATCTCCAAAAGTTCTATATATATATATTACACAACTACGCTAAAGGAGTTTATTAATGAGGTATAAAACTTAATATTCTCATAATAAAATTTTGTAATAAAACAATAATACCGTGTACGTATATTAATTCTATTGCAGATAAAATTACAAAGAGAGAAATATTCTCATCTTTTGGTTTTGATGGTGTAGATGGTGTAGATGGACCATCAGATGGTCTCTTTAATCTTCGACCATTTAAACTCCTTCTCTTTACATTATTATTGTTATCACCACTAGATTCACTATTACCAGAATCTTTTTTTTCTTGGATTTGTTGGAACGTCCGGCGTCGTTTCATTAGTTTGTTCGAGTATATATATATATATATATAAACCAAACAAAAGTCAATAAAATTTTATCTATTGATGCTAAAAATATAAATCTATTGCCATTAGATGCATTTCAATGAAACGATTCTAACAAACCATATCTCATCCTTCTACGATCACTGGATATGCCGATGTGAAGTTTGATCAAATTTTTGCATATTTTATAAGCTTTGATAGGTAAGATTTTGATTTTAACCTAAAATGAGAAACATATTAAGTTTTTATATTACTTTTTTTTTTAATTAATCTATCAAAAATATGCATATATAAATTTAATTATCGCTTATTAAGAAGAAATCATATAAGTTTAATAATATCAAGACGCATTTTTGTCTTTTTTTTACTTTCAAGTTGTAACTTGAATGCTTTAGTCAAAGAAAATAATCAAACAACTTAAAAGTTATTCAGTAATTATTAAAATACTTGTATATTAATTTTCATGGGGTTTAGCTTAAGTGGCTGTGCGAGTCATTGATTGTCTTTTTGTTTTTGTAATAACGTTAGAACGCATTCTTTTAAGTAAAAATTTCAGTGTTAAAACAATATAACATTTAATAACATTTAATAGAATGTAAAGCGTTAATTCCGATATTGATTTTTGGTATTTAATTCAAATAAAGCTTTTACTTAATAAAAAAGTTTTGTATTTTTCAAGATTAAACTGACGCTAATAATTGTTAACAAAAAATTAAATAAAAATTTTATTATGGTTTATTAAAATCTCTAACTGATTATATTATTAATATGTACAAAATTACATCATATTTTTTTATTCTTTAATATTTAAAAATTCATGAAGAATTGATGTATAATTTTTTTCACTTTTTTTTTAAAAGAAAGCTTGAAGCTAGTTATGACGCACGCGAAAAAAAAGCCAAAAATATTTTAAAAAACAGATGTTACACGAATTGTGTGGCTGATGATTAGTATTTTTGAGCCAATCATATTTTTAATTATAAATCACGTGTTACAAGTAATAAGTATTACAAAAAATTGTGTTACAAGGGAATCGCCTCAAAATTGCTGCTCCACTACCATTACGGTAGAAATTTTTTATTGGGCATTTAATAGTAAGAAGGTTTAAAATTAAACTGAATTAAATAAATTTAGGCTATTTTTATCTAAGTGATATGTTTGATTTAAAGACATCTAAATGACGCGAAATATTTAATTGACATCAACAAAAATAAATACAGATAATTTTAAAAAGTTACTTATTTTCAAAGTTTTTTTCATAATAAGCCAGTGATTTTCTCGCTTTAATAAACTATCTTCAGCAATTAAACAATTGGAAATCACTGAATAAATTGAATATTGCACGTACTCCTGCTGGTTTAAAGTCGCGAAATTAACATTAGGATTTATTTCATTATTATATGTCATAGTACTAGATTGTTAATAAAGCCCTTTGATTTCAATATTCCGTGAATGGATCCTTGAAAGGCTCATTTTTATGGAGTTTTTACAGAAATAACGGATAAAATTTTTTATAGTTTATCTTCGCTATAATATTGTTTATTTTTTTATTTTACGGTAAAGAGACTTTAAATTGAAGCCGCACGTTGTTTATTAAACTTTATTAAATTCTATATATTAATTATAAAATAAAAAGTGACACATGATGAATTTAAAGTAAAATATACTGCCCAAGACTTAATCTACAGACCAACCCCGTGTCGAGTGCTTTCTACAAGTCACTCGCTATTGAAGAGGACAAAAAGCCCATATATATATATATATATATAGACAGTTTTAATCTTTCACCCTATAAAATAAAGCGTTTGCGTGTAAATACTATCTAACGTAAAATGATGTTTTATGGTTCGAAAATTGTGTTATAATATCATCGTAAAATTTATACACGGATTGATCAACGTATTATAGTTCGGGCCTGCATTATATAAATTTTATTCACAGATTTGCCCTATAGCTCATTGATCACGTGCCGAATATTAGGAAATGTAGTTTCTTGTACGACATTTCTTTCATCATTTCTTGACGAAATAGAAGGAAACAGTTATCAGATCTTTTCTTCGTATAGATTATTGATTATAATTGTTTTAGGAAAAAAGATTATAATAATCAATTTAAAGAACAAATGTGAGAAGTAGACTTTACTTAATTGTTTTTATTATTATTTAATTATTTTATAAATCGGAAGCCCAGAAGCATTCATTTATATACTTTCTTACGGAGAATGATTATTACATGCCGTCAAAATTTTCGTACGTGATTCTAAATGTAACTCTAAAGAAAGGGAATTTCCATCGCCTTCATTACATACGATTATACTTACTGAATATAATTTTTTTTTCTTTTATATTAATAGAAAACAACGAAGTTTCCTCATCGCTCAAGGTAACTAACGTACAATACGCCATATTTATTTAATTAATTACAGAAGAAACAGAAGTAACATATATGTAACCAAATATAGCGATAATGAAAAGAAAGTGTTTTGGTGGAAAAAAAAATTCATGCTCAAAAGAAAAATGTTGCATTATTATAAGCGGCGTCACGGAAGATTCTTACCTTTTTTTCATGCAATAAAAATAAAGAACGCAAACAATACAAATAATATCATCAATTGTCTCAATATGTCGAATATTAGCGAGATTAACGATAAGAGCACGTTACATATGACGAAATTATTGATACAATTACATAATAAAGTTAGCGATTTATAGTTCAATTAATAAAAGAAAATGCAACCAATATCATCGTGTATCCGTAAACTCTGTAACGATAACTATTATAGTTAAAAAAAAATAATGATTTCGATTAAATTCCGAACTTATGAACTTAGAAAGTATAGCTGATAGTATATTATTATTCTTGAATGAAATTGTATTTTGCAGATCTTTTCATATTTTGGTTAGATTTTGACAGCTCGTGACCATAATATTTGAGAATTTCAGAGAAATGTTTTCTTTATAAACATTCATATCTGATGCAGTTTATGACTTATATTTACAAAGATTAAAAGATCAAGGATCTTTTTTTTTGGAAATTCTATCAATCTTTACATCTTTTTTTAAGACAATCATATACATGTACTAAATAATGCATTTTATATTAAATTTGATTGTTATTAGAAGATTTTTATTGGATAATTTTATAACGCCCAAAAGTAAAAAATTTTATACGGTACAAAACAAAAAGAGATTTCATATGCACTAGCTATTCCTAGAAATAAAACTCACTTTTTAGACTTGTGATTTGGTTCCTTTTATTTTGCCACTTTTACTGAATGATATTTAATTATAGAAGGCTGCAAAAAATATGCACGAGGAATTTTTTTCCGAAGAATTTATATTTTTTTGAGGATTCGCAAATGAACGGTAGGTAGCAAGTAAGTAACGGAAATTGGCTAAGTAACATAAAATTACTATTTTAGGTCAATTTACGTTACTCCCCTTATATAAGGCACGGAACGTAAAGTCAATTATATTTACTTTATGTTACTCCTCTTATATAAGGTACTAAACATCCTCTGGGTTATTTTTTCAAATATTTCACATGATGTACAATATATAAAGTAAATTTATTTAATCGGCTGATGGCTGATTTTTTTAACTTAACTAATTTTTGATCGGTTAAACTTAAAATTTTATTGCGGTATTTTTAAAAAATTTTTTTACAAACATTATTCAAAATAATCTTTAATGAAATTTTATTTGCAAATATTAAAATTTAAGTCCCACAATTTCGATTTTAAAGAAAAAATCACTGTATTTATTTTTAATGAAGATACAAATAAAAAAACAATAACAATAAATAAAAAAGATAAGTAAATTACCGACATTGATCAAGGAGAAAGATGCTAATAAAAAAATGAAATAACAATAGAGTAATTGAAAGTACAGTCAGCTCACGTTACAATGAATTTTGATTTAACGAATTATTTAATACAACGAATTTTCATTGTGGTACAGATTTTATCATATGAATAAAATTTCGCTAAACCGAATTTTACTATTAAAATGCTGTATAACATATAACAAAATAAACTGCATAAATTATATATATAAAATGAATCGCATTATAATGAATTTTTTTTATACCGAAATTTTTTTTAATTATAACGAAGATTTGTCACAAAATGTATTTTTTTAAGGGATGTTCGCGTCTCGTATTTCGTGTTAGTTTTCATATTTTCTATTCTTTTTTTTTGAAATGCCGAAAGCTAAGCCTATTAACCTGTCCAAGAAACAACTTTCTAAGGAAACTTCTGCCCCTAAAAAACGTAAGTCTCTTACTGCTGCACAGAAACAAGAAGTTTGCTTAAAAAAAAAATCTTCACCTTTCTTAAAAAACAAAGACCTAGCCAAAGAGTATGAAGTTAGTGAAGGGATGATTTGTGATATTCTAAAGACAAAAGACCGTTGGCTTGCTGTGGATCTTTATTCATATCAAGCTGGTTTGAGACGAGAAAGAAAACTCCCTTTTATTGTTATTGAAGAGGCTTTAGCTCTTTGGGTGGAAAATGCACTCCAGGCTGGTCTTATTATAAGTGATGATATTCTTTCAATCAAACCTTAGAATTTGCTTTTTTGTGTAATGAAGAAAAATTCAAGGGATCAGATGGATGGATCGACAAATTTAAAAAATGGCATAATCTTAAACAATATAATATGCATGGAGAAGCGGCAAGTGCACCACTTGCAGAACTTAACACAATGCATGAAAATCTTCGCCAAATTCTAAAAAATTATGATCCCAATGATATTTTTAACTGTGATGAGACAGGTCTTTTTTGGAAAATACGACCTAATCACACCATATCTAATGGTCCTGTGGCTGGAACGAAACAATCTAAGGATCGTATAACGGACTTATTTACTTGTAATGCTCTAATGCAACTGGGACTGAAAAGTTGCGCCCCTTATTCATACACAAATATGAAAATTCCTGGGCTCTAAAAAATATTAACAAAACTACTCTTCCAGTAAATTATTATTGGAATTCA